AGCTCCGCTTTGCCCCAGCCAAACAGCTGTGCTAGCTGAAGCTGAAGGCAGTTGTATTCCAAAACATCTGGTGGGCACTAGGTTGGTGAAGGCTTGTCTGTTGTGTTACCGCGGGGAAGGGAAATGATTATCCTTAATTTGTGGCTTTAAGATTAGATTACGTAGGGTTGCCATATTTCAGAAAGTGTAAATCCAGGCACAAAAATTGTTGAGCTTTTTTTAGTTTTGCCCAGAGGAGTTCCTGAGCTTTTTTTGGTCAACCTCCAAAAATGACCCTGACAGTATGGATCCGGATTTTCATGGACATTCCGGTTATGTCTGGACATATGGCAACTCTAGATTAGGTTTCACTGGGGTGGAGGGAACCAGACCCTCAATTAGTAATCAATTGGTTATTAAGAGGAGGGGCTATAGTCAACATAGAAGTTAGTCCCACTACGCAAGGGCGGACTTTGGTCTTTCAAACTCACCCCCCTCTCACCTTCCTGCCTCTCACCTTCCATTCTGCTCAATTAAGTACATCATAGTTGCAACGCCCTGCAACACTCCCTAGGCTCAGACCCAGTGCTGCCCTAATTCCGCCTCTGCACTGCGATCAATAGGGCTTACTCCCAGGGAAAGGTACACAGGACTGCAGTGTCTATTAGATAGTTTTGTTCAGAAATGAAGCATGCATTGTTTCCAACCACATCAAACTCAGACTAAGCCCACTGACATCAATGGATTTCACTTGGCTATCTGCAGTCCGTTTATTTAAACGTGCCTACTACAAGTGTGACTCAATTGAATACAGGTTTTTGTATGTCAAACCTCAGCCCTTACTTTTTTATTCTTGTAAGAGTAAATTAAAAAGAGGAAAGAAAGCTAAGCTTCACAGCAAGTTAAGCTTCCTGCTGCATTCCACACATCAGCACTACATACATCTTTCAGTTCCCTCAATTTCATATTCCTCTCTGTTATTTTTGGAAAAGATCGCAGAAAGAGAGTTCATGTCCTGAAGGGACTAAACATTCCCCAAAGTTCTCTTGGAGTCTTCATACTGTCAATCCAGTCACATCTAATATACTTTGGGATGATGGACAACTGTATTGAAACTACATAAAAGAAGACAACAGAATTGCATTAAATCCGATTTTCTCCACTGGAAGGCTCTTTGCCACTTCATTACTTAAATATTAAAGCAGCTCTGGAGGACTTTGAGTTCCTGGAGATATCCAATATGACACCCAGGGGAAGGGGAGCTTCATTTCTCTTGGTCTCAACTCGCCCTGCCTGAAGTCATCTGGAGAGTGAGTTTCAAGATTAGTTGAAGCTTGATCCAGTGTAACTTTTAGAAGTGGTAATAAAAATAAAACCTTAGGTTGTAACATTTCAATTTGCTCTTCTTCCTTGCTGCTAACCTGAGCTGAAATGGCAGGATGTTCCCTCTTCCATTCTCCTGGCTATAATTGCCCTTTGCACAACGCTCACCTTCTGCATCTCCATCACCTGATATTTTATTGAGACAGCTGCTCACTGGTTTGTCTATAACTAATTGGATCCTGGAGTTCGAGTAACTTTCCTGAAAGGTATTGTTCCTTCGGCCAGTGTTGCTCCCCAAACCACTGCTAGGATGTTTGCTTGGTGCATATGAGGTTACACACCAAGCTGTGGTCTCTAGGCTCTGCCTTTTATGCTGCTTTAGATAACTTGTTAAAAATTCACTGATCGAGCCCTGCTGCCATGTAGCATGGGGAGAGAGCTGCTTCATGCTGCTGGAGAACTCTGCAGTGATAATTATCAGAGCCACCTGGTGGGATGGTACCTTCAATGTGACCCCTGGTTGAGTTGAATTGCCAAACTCTTCTTTTATTTTGTTTAAATGGAATTCTGTCCAACTTTCCTTGCACCTTTTACTATCATATACCTCATTCTGTTGGCTCAAGGTTCTCATTCTTGCACTACTTCAGGGACTGATCTCATTCGAACTTCCTTCTCCAAGCAGGTGGCATTGCCAAGTTCTGTAGCACTTCACTGTTTGGGCAGAAATTTAGCAGGTTCTGCTCATGGTGTAATTCTGTACCTCCTCCTACACATCTAAGGGAGCTTCCAGAGTGGTATTTATTGTGGGCTCAGTGCTGCTCATGCATGCAAGTTTTCTGCAGCACCCATGTGATGTCACTAGTATCAAAATGTCAGCTCATAATTTCCCCCCACTTAAGACAGATTAGGATGGGGAGAAATTAGATCCAGTTCTCATTTGAAGGTGACATTACCTAATTTGCACTTCCTGAAACAATGTAAATACAAACTCTGGTAATTTAAAAGTTCACACCAAACAGACCATCAGTGGGGGGGGGGGGAGAGCCCCAAAATTATCAAGGAAGGGGCCAGGCCACCTCAGAATTCCCTGGCAGCTGTGGAATTGCCACACCATGACCTGACCAACTATGCCCTGCTTCCACTGCCACCACACCTCAGTTCCCGCTGAACTCAGCAGAAGCCAGGGTGCCTTGCCTTCTCACTTGCCTTCTCCACTGGGGTAGGGGAAAGCAAGCGACAGTCCCACATGATGGAATGCCTCCCTCTCGGTGGCAGAAGTGGTGAGGTAGGCAAGCAGAACACCATCTCTTTCACTTCTCCCTTATCTAAACATTGGTTTAGATAAACTATAGTTTTAAGATGCCAGATAACACAAGGACCAAGCCAGGTAACCTTGCACCACAAATAAAGGACCAACCACACATTCAAACATACACACTTATCTTTAAGGTGTCAAGAGGCATTATTGGATCTTGGCTGTGAAATAATTCAAAATCCTTCAGTGTTCCAGAACCCCACTGTCCCCTTTTGTGGGGTACCTGTTGCCCACCTGTTGTGCCCACCTGTTGTGGGGTAACCTGGAGTCTTCTTTCTCCAAGGGGAGAAATTTGACCAAAAATACCCTAATGTGACAGAACGGGGTAGGGGTTATGATGGCTATCTCATGTCGCATTGAATATTCAAATATCCTTTCAGAATGTTGTAAAGGAAAGGAAAGTTAGGCACTCTAGGATGTGACAAGGCAATCTTATAAATTGTGGGCACACTGTTTAAAGTAATTCTCTGCTACCTCGGTTTTCTGAGTGGTGTCCCAGAACTCAACACAAATAGCTTGTGTTATGTATGCTGGATCTATGAAGCCTGTCTTTTGTCATGGGGAAATTTGTGCCTCGTTAGCCCTCTTCAGGGTGAACTTCTCCTTCCATTGGGAGTCTTCTCCATGCATTTTGGAGCCCTCATTATGCAGCAGGTAGAGAAGGGTCCCTGCTGCTCCCACTTGTGATGGGCTTCAAATGAAGGGGAGGTGATATATAGGAGAGGCAGAGCTTGCAAGCATGCCCTCACTCTCCCTTATTCTATGAAGAAAGAGAACGCCCCAAAATGGCTAAAAATGATGTCCTAACCAGGGGTGGGGAAAGAATTTGATTCAGCTCACATTTGCAGGTAAGCGTACCAAATTCTAACTTTTCTGAAATGATACAAAACGGAAACAGACATCTTTCACAAATTCGCATTTGTCTGAAATTTGCAGTGAAGTTCTTTAGCCATGCAATATGTACAAAAAATGCATACGCTAGAGTAAAGTGTACACAAGAACACACATATTAGTGAAAATAAAATATAAAATGTAACCTCTTTGGAGAAATCCCCACTAAGATGCTGGTGAATTTTCATGGGGATTTCATTAAAAAAAATATGCGGACTGATATGGAAATATGGAGAACTGAACTTAAGCTTGGAAAAATGAGAACCTGAGGAAAACCACAGTTGACATGCCTACCGATTACACGTTGCCCCTCATCTCAAGGAATGCTGGCTGTCTCTTTCAAGCAGTACTCAATATACCCACGAGGAGGGGCTACAATGTCCCATTTCAAGTTGCATGGAGAGGTAGCTTCCTTCAAGTAAATTTGCTTAAGGGACAAAACAAATTGATCATACCATTTGAAATAAGGCTGTTGCTGCTGTGCCTCCTGGAGGAAGGTGATAACTCCCCGCTACAGACCTTGTATTAGTTATGCTTTGAATGACTTCCCCTTCCCTGTTGCAGAGCAAAGCCAATGTTCACACTTGTTAATTTTTCCTCTTGTTTAGTATGAATGTTAAAGTGGCAAAGATTTCAGGGCTTCCTCATTTATTCAAGTTCTTTCTTTATGATCAGGTCGGCTTCCCCTTTTCCTTTTTTAACCTGTTAAGTCTTTATGTAAACATTAATTCATTCTTTGCTCTCATTCTCTGACTAACTTATTTGGTTTCCACCCCTCTGACTAGTTGGTTTTTTTTGCTCGTATACCTGCATATTATTTATATCCCTCATGTCCTTCAGCAATATGACTAAGTGAGGTCCATTAATTTCAGTGGGTCTACTCTGAGTAAAACTTCATTGCATACCACCCATAGTCTCTGAACTCATGTTTTACACTGGGTTAGCCTGTGCAAGTGACAAGGTTTGTGTGAGGAAAATATAGGCATCATTTCAAACTACCAGATAGAATCATAGGAAGCTGCGCTATACTGCACCAGACCATCGGCCCATTTCGGGCAGTGTTGTCTACACCAGGGATTCCCAAACTGTGGTCCATAAGCTTTGTTCAGGTGGCCTTCAGTGCCGCCTGTGGATTTGTGGTTGAAGATGGGAGAAAGCACAACCACCATACTAAATATTCATTTTGATTTTTAAATGTATTTTTTATTGCTTCTTTTATTTCCCATGTTGCATTTTGTTACATTGCAGTTTGAATTCTATGGAATCCATGTTGTAATATAATAAAATGCAATGTATAATAATGAAAAAGAAGCAATTAAAAATTATCCAGTGTAGTGCATTACAACTGCTACAAAGGGACAGAAAAATAATTAAGTGTCCAACCAAGGCCCTAGCAATGTTCAAGTGGGCCATGGAGGAAAGGGTTTGGGAACCATTGGTCTACCCTGATTGGCAATGGCTCTCCAGAAAGGGATCTCTCCCTAGCCGTACCTGGAGATGCCAGGGATTGAAACTGGGACCTTCTGCATTCAAAGCAGATGCTCTGCCGCTGGGATACAGCCCTTCCCAAGAAGATGAACAGCACATGGAGCTTTGAATTGAATTAACATCCATAAAGTCAAGCCCAATGTAACTGATGAGACATGGGGGACAATTCCATATGAATGTTTCTTCAAAAAGGGGAACAGACTTGTCCTTGGCTCATCAGTAATTATGGACCCAAGCATTGTGGTCCCAAGGCAAGGCCAGTTACAAGCAGCACATGTGACTAGCAGAAAGTGCACCCACAGTAGCATCAACAAATGGACTCAACAACGGACTCAGATAAGCAATAGGTTGCAAATGTACAGTGGTACTCGGGTTACATACGCTTTAGGTTACATAAGCTTCAGGTTACAGACTCTGCTAACCCAGAAATATTGCATCAGGTTAAGAACTTTGCTTCAGGATGAGAACAGAAATCGTGCTCCAGTGGCGCAGCAGCAGCGGGAGGCCCCATTAGCTAAAGTGATGCTTCAGGTTAAGAACAGTTTCAGGTTAAGTATGGACCTCCGGAACAAATTAAGTACTTAACCCGAGGTACCATTGTATTTGTTTCCAGATATCGCTCCACCTGTGTCTACAGCAGCTGTATATGTGGTGGTGACAAGTGCCCTTTCCTGTATGCTGCTTCTTCAAGGTGTGCCCTGTTCAGGCATTATTCTCCTCATGTGATGAATTTGAATATGTATTAGATCTGCTACCTAGAGCTGCGTCTAGGTCTCCTCTATATTTAAGCATCCTTTTGTGCCAGTCACTCCTAGGGTGGGTGTCTTGCTTTTATTTGCTTGTTTACTCTGCAACAAGTCAAAATGAAATGTTTGGCATTCCTCCATATTTTCCATATCAGATCCATGGCTCCTTGGGTACAGGGCAGGCTCTCAAATCATAAATATTGTAGCATTTAAAAGAGAAACGGGTAACATTCACTTCTGGGAAAATGCAGAATCTTTAGTGATTTGTTCTTTTTGTTTATTACTGCTTAAGATGTTGCTTGCATCCGTTCTGAAACACTGAGCCAAATCAATGCCTACTTCAAAACAAAGAAGGCTGAAATCAGGATAATGAGCGGTGCAGCCCTCAATCTGCTGAAACACTTTCGCAGTTCCCTAGATAGATAGATATTCCTGTCTGTTGAGAAATATCTAGTATATTTCTTGGAAGTGGAGGAAAAGGCTCATTCCCGTATGTCAAAAGGAAGTGCAAAATCATAAGAAAGCTGCAAAGAAACAACCTGTGCTGGCTCAATAGATATTGCTGCCTAAGGCAACCTATGCTGGGTCATCATCAGAGTCAGCTCAATGCATTTTGCTGCCTGAGGCAAAGGACAAGATGCCCTGCACCCCCCGAGGCATACACAGAAGCCAATAGGATTGGCAGTTTAATCTTATTCCAATACTGGTGAAAGGAAAGTATTCTCCACTGCCCTTGAGGGCAGCCAGCTAGCTTAGGGGGTACAGGGCAGGCCACATGGCACTCACAGCTCTGTCATTTCCCCTCCCCACCTCTCAGTATTTGCCACCTGAGGCAGCTGCTTCACTCTGTTTCATCAAAGGGCCGGCCTTGAACATCACTATAGGCCAAGACTTCAGCTCCCAGTAGTCCAGGGCTGTGCATGTGGAGCTTGCAGATACACCCAGCTCTTCATATTCATGATATTTTATGGGAAGAGATTCATAAAACGGAATTAGATAAATGAATGCAGAAATGCCCTTGTCTTTATAATTTTATCTGGATGGTGGCAATCATTTATAGTTTAACAGAGCCATAATATTGTAGTATATCTAGTAACAGTACCTCACTGGATATTCTGTGTGGTTGGTCATATAAATTTAGATATCATCTTCTGCCAGCTATCTTGCAATCTATAATTAAGTTCAAGTGGGAGTTTAGATCAATAAAAATAATATCCTGAGTAGCACATTCATAGTGTGGCTATTCTACCAAGCCATGATAACTGGTGTGAAGCCCATTTTTAACAAATCCCTTTCTGCAGCTGTCATCATTTTTTTTAAAAAATGATTACATGGCTTTGTGCTGACCATTTGGTTTTAAGCAAATAAATGACTGACTGATTAATAAAATGGCAAGAATGAAAGACTTATTAATCTTGTGCCTTGCATCACAGGTACCTCTGAGATGCATTAGAAAATATTTGAAATTCAGAAGCTTAATTTAAGAAGAGGCTCCTTAGTGCCAAGATGTCTCATTCTGGGCTTCCGTTGCTGCTACTTTAAGTTCCGATTGCTTCTGTTGTGCAGTAAATGGAACAAAATGAAAAATAATATATCAAACACTGTTTATTGTTTACAAATTAAAGATATTGCTACATGAGATGGAAATATTCCTAAAACGCAAAAATAAACAACACCCCCAAACAAACCACAAACCCCAAATTCAAAACGATTATTAAAATATTCCCTCAAGATGGATTTCACTGTAGATGAAAGGGCACTGCTGCAGAACTCTCTGGGAAGCGTTGTGATACCAAGCAAAAATGTTAACGTGGGATCTCAGAGTATTTTCCTCAACATAACAACATTAGATAAGTTTATTGAATCAGGCCATCTTGTCCAGCATTCTGATCTGACAGTGACTAACAATATGCTTATGGGAAGCCTGAACACAGGACCTGAGCACAACAGCTCCCTCCTCTCATGCAGTATTGCTGAGCTACTTAATAACAAAAGTTGAAAAATGGATTTACAATTGGTTTTAATATCCTAATCAGTGCCTTACTTTGTTTGGGACAACTTTGGAAATCACCAGAAACACACACACACATCAGTACCAGAATGGTTAAAAAGGAACTCTAGAAATGGGAGAGTTGGACACTGGGTTTTTGGAGAATACTGCCCAAATTCATTTCATATTGAACCCAAACTGTTGGCTTTTGTATTTGGTAAAATAGAAAAATAGATTTGGTGAAATAAAAGACATTCTCTGGATGCCTAGGATCCAGGTTTGGGGCAAGTACTCTTTGCCAAGAGAGCCCCAGCAGACATTTAAAATGACAAAACATGCAGCAAAGTAAAGCATGGAAATATAGGCTATTACACGTTTAAAAATCCCCTTACAAAGCTCCCTGCTTCCCTTAGCATAGAAAAAGACCACACATTTGGTAAGTTAAAAATGGTTTACTTACAAACTCTTCAAAGATCTGGTTCATGTGCTTTCCCATACAGCAGCAAGAAAAGACAGGCAACAAAAATTAGGTTAAAGTAGTAAATGCTTCTAAAAAGATTTCTATAAAATGTATAAAAACACAAAGATGGCTTGCTAAAGCCACATGGTCTAAGCCTGGACACCCAGCTTAGACATCCTTACTGGCTGAATTCACATGGTTGGGGAGAAAGAGTTTGGTAGCCCTTCCTCCCAAGGTGAGCAGGTGTGACTTAGCTAAGCATGGCAGGACAGCTTACTCTATGGTCTTAACTCCTTCATGCATTAATTAGAAATAAGCATGTTGGTTATATGAGGCTGGATATATCTCACACAAACACATCTGATTCCAGGGATCTCTTCCCTCCCCCACCACAGTTTTTTGACCACATTTAAGTGGGGAAGCAGAGTGTGGGGAGGAGGGGAGGCTCTCAGAAAGAACCATGGTGGGAATCTCACACTCTAAACTCGAGTGTCACACATACTTGCAGTAGAAATCTCAGTGCAACCCTCCTATTCCAAATCTGTTATGTGGTTCCCCCACTCATAATTAAGTAGGCAGAGCTTTCTTGTTATGAAACGATATTAAAGCATAAAGAGCTGTCTTTTCACAAGGATCATAGCTAAAGCTACAAAACTACCAGAGGACTATGAAAAATTATATTCAAGGCTTCTTCTTTTTTCAGCCACTGAACAAACTCAGTTCCAGCATCTCTCAGGTGGGCGCCATTACCATTGTAAGAGAACAAGGGAGGCGTTCACGGTGAGTTCTAGCACCTCTTTTTCTAGAAAAACAGCACTGATTATATTTTATATCCATTGTGACTTCATAATTAATAAAGAAACAAGTTTCAGACTGAAAGCATTTGTAGAAAGTGATGGTTACTAACGCACATTGCTTCAATAACTTGCTAGACATCTTTGGCCGTTCTGTCTGTTATCTGGCTACTACCGCAGAACCTTTCTCATTTATCCTGAAGACACAAGAGTGAGCTAGGAATCCTTTCCGCATTTCTTACAACATCAGAGCATCGGAAACTCTTGAAATTCTACAGTGCCTTTTTCAGGGCACTCCACTGCGCAATCATTTAAATATATTGTTCAAATTTTAGTTAATGAATGTCAAAATCTCACCCTACAGGCCAGCTGTGCCCAGCTGATGAACAAATACTCGTCTCATAGGGTTTTTCACAGCACAATATGTTAGCAGCTGCTACACATTGAGACAGCTATTCCATCCATGCTTTGCATATAAAACAAGTTGAAAAAGGAAGTAGCATTTTTCGTCAAAGTCCTTATGAAAATCACAAAATCTATGCCCATGTCTTAGACTGCTGCACATCTCACCAGATGTGACATTATTGCGCAGCAAAGAGGCCATAGCCAACTACTAAAGCTGAAGGGCTGCTATTGCATTACACATGTTTGAGAAGCTACACTTTTGGGAAGAGCCATTTCTCTGCTGTTTAGGCCTATTATCACCACAAGTTGACTTGCTGCTTTGTTTGCTTTTGTTCCAATCTCTTTTCCTTTAAAGAGGTTTCTCTCCAGGTTTCTTTGATTTGTTTGTCTGCTGCATGATATCCTGCCTTTCATCGTGCAGGGATCCCAGGCTGGTTTGCAACAAAACCAAAATGCACAACAACAACAACTCAATAGCAAAATAAATTTACAACCAGCTCTTGTATCTTACCTGCAACATTATTAAAACACAAATATGAAAAAGAAATTCTAGGGGTGATATCTGATGTTAGTGGTTTTCAGGGTAGACCCACTGAAAGCAATGGACCACTAAATTGGATATCACCTAATAGATACAAATGTTTCAAAAACAAAAACCCGAAAGCCCCAGAGTGAAAT